CCAGGGCCTCCCCACCCTCACAGGGAAGAATTTCTGCCTAACATCTAACCTAAATCTACCCTCTTTCAGTTTAAATCTAAACCTGCCCCCTGTCAGTCTGAAGCCATCATCCCTTGTCTTGATAATTACGATTTTCAGTGAAATACTTGCCTGGCATGGCAATTGTCCTTGGGATACTCAGTGACTGAAGGCAACAGTTGCTGCTAAAAGAAATGCAATACTGAGCTAAGGTTGGCTCGAACTGGCAGCCCTCAGCTTGCTCTTGAGGCAAGAGCTGCCCTGGTGGAATGAAGGGTATGAAATCCCTGACATGCCCATCAAATATTCCTTGTTATCTTAGGGACGGGGTGTGTAGAATAGGTTTGCTCACATTTCACATCAAGATGCTGTCTCCACTTTGTTGCCTTCTCTTTTACTTTTACAGATACACTTGAGACAAACCTGAGCTGCTAAAAATGATGTGTTTTTGCTGCCTTTGTGACACATGATCTCTGTGGGTGTGTTTGCACAGCTCATACCTGTGCCATCAGCAGGGTTTGAGCTGAGGCACCAATGCAGGAACCTCAACTACTTGAGCTGTGTGGGCAGTTCTGAGTTCTCTGCTGGGAACATCAATTCCCACAAAAACATATGAGATTCTTGACTTCTCTATTCATAAAATCATAGAATGGTTCAGGTTGGAAGGGACTTTAAAGATTATCTCGTTCCAACCCCTCTGCTGTGGGCAGGGACACATTCCATTAAACCAGGTTGCTCAGAGCTCCATCCTAAATGAAGGTGGAGAATATTTTATCAGCTAAATTATTCCACATATACCCTGGTCTGGGGAAGAATTAATCCAGGGGGCTGATATTGTGATCAGGGAGCTGGAATGGTCTCAGAAACATTTAAAAAAGTCTGCTCATCACTTCTAACTAGATTTTCTGAGACTTTTTAAATCTCAAGTGTTTTTAAGTCTTTTCAAGTCTTTCCAAAGCTGTTTCTGTATTCAGGCATCAATATATCCCTAAGACTTTGCTTAAAATCAGAAACAAGGGGTGGTGAATAAAGTGCTAGCAGCTGGAGGGCATCTGGAACTTGATTTAAAAGATCCATGAGGATGTAGGGGAGATGAATGGGATTGCAGTGTAGCAGAGAGCAATTATCTGAAGATCAGAGAATGAGTTTGCACCATCTGTTAGGGAGTCAGGCACCAACATTCGTGTGTGTGATGATGAAATAATGATCAGTGATTACCGTGTCCTCCCTTTTTTGCTGATAAACCTGAACCAAGGCATGAACTGCTTTCCATTTTTCGCTCCAGACGAAGCTGTTACTTTTGTCAACAAGCCCAAGACGACTCCAGAAGTATCAGTCAGTCCTTCTGAAACCCTGGAGCTGGTGTGTGAGGTGTCAGCTGCCAGCGGAGCTGTGGTGTGGAAGAGGGATCACACCGAGGTGAAGCAGGACCAGAGGACAGCAGTGGTGTCCCAGGGGACACAACGGAAGCTCATCGTCAAGAAGGTGACACAGCAAGACCAAGGGAGCTACACCTGCGAGGTGAAGGATGACAGAATAACATTCCAAGTCAAAGTCAGAGGTGAGGAAACGCTGGAAATGCCAAAGATAAGGGAATGTTCCATTCTGAGTCAGATCTTGGGTTCAGAGGATCATCTCATGGGTCTCTCTGGGGTGAAATATCTCAGCCAGAGGGCCGATTTTTCAGCCAGATTTAATGACAATATACACAGTTCTGCATCCGTGACCAGTTGTGATCACAAAGAAATGATGGGCAGGGATGGAAATTCCTTCTCTCACAATTGGCTCTGCAGAAAAGCTCCCACGGAGGCACAGTGTGAGGCCATAGCAGAGGTGCAGGGATAAGTGAAAGGGAAGGGGGGAGGTGCTTGAAGAGCTCTGATTAGATCACATCCCTGGAAGTGTTCAAAGCCAGGTTGGATGGGGCTTGGAGCAGCCTGGTTGCTTCCACACCTAGCAAGGTGGAAGGTGTCCTTGCCCATGGCAGGGGGGTTGGAAGGAGGTGAACTTAAAAGTCCCTTCCAACCTGAACCATTTTGTGATTAGATGGAGAATGACTAAATTTGAATGACCCAAATAGGCAGAAAAAGAGCA